CCGGTGTCTGCACTCGCCACCATCTTAAAATCCTCCAAATCACCTTTCCTCCAGTGTGTTTCGTATGATGTGGATAACATTCTACAGGAACAAGCTCGTAATGGTTCTCTACACACATAACTGGTTTGTTTCTTTTCTAAAACCTAACATGACCGAAGTCCAGAGGAACGTCAGTCCCCACAACTCTGGTTCGTGTCAGAGGAACATTTTTTTTTTTATAGTTTTTATGATGCCACTGAAGTTCCCTTGTTGATTCGTCGCTCGTGGCATCGCATAAATTCTGACAAAACTTACAAAACTTCGCCTTTTAGTTGAGTCTTGATATTCTGACAATAGGGTGGTGATGTAGCGGACAGGGGGTGATGTGGCGGACAGGGGGTGATGTGGCGGACAGGTGAGAATTCTTAACTTCTTCGTCACTGCCACCTCCAGTACTGCCACTCGGAGTGTTGTGAAAGGTCAGGACGCGACCCTCACAGCTCAAGTGACACTTGTGAGTAGGTCTAAGGGATCCATACAACACACTGCTTGTTATCGTGCTCGCCAACTTACTTAACTGGGGAGCACTTACTAAGTGCCATCATGATGAGAAAATTTCTTAATGCAGGATGTGATGGTGTACTGAGAATGGCGTTGGGACCTTCGGAAGTATCCTGTAGTGTTCATGACCCCTTGAGGACCTATAAACCAGGTCCTTTTGCCTGGTTCACGCTTTATGCCATTCATCGTGTTGTGAATACAATTTATCCTGATTAGCGCATCTGCAACTCAGAATTCTCAATATTTACGGCAAATAAGAATTATAACATTCCGGTACAAGGAAGCTGCAGTCAGGGAACATGGTATGACACAGTTCGCCACAGGGGAGGGATCAGAGTGGGAGTCGGCCATCTACCAAGCCTCCAGGCAATCAGTCCGACCTGTTACCACACCTGCCACGCGGGGGTGAAATGATTTATGCTTCCCGGGAATTAAAATTTTCATAAGGCAGCTTAACATTTTCTTATGATCCTCAGCTCGCCCATGTAAGGGCAGTTCCATTGTAAAAACACGTATTTTTTTTTTTACAATTACTGCTAAAGCGTTTTTTACAATTACTGCTAAAGCTGATATCAATAACTTCAGATTTTTCTAGCATAATTACTTATTAATTCTTATTCCACAAACACGCATAAAATCTGATTTGTTTTCTTTCCCTGGATTTGCGGGGCGCCAACCCGTGTCAACACAGCCAGCCGCTCGTACTTATTAGAATGGAACTAGCACTATTATTCGCATGGAAATTTAATGCGTATTTTTAAAGAAGTTATAAAATGGTTTTTGAATGCTTTATAGTTAAATCTGGAAAAGGGTAATATAATTAGTAATATATTTAAGTATATAATTAGTAATATATTTAAGTATTTATTATTATAAACATTTACAATCGCATCGGTACTGGAAAGGCCGTCAAGTGGTGACCTGGACCCAGTAGTGTTAACCCGGCAGTGGTGACCTGGACCCAGTAATGTTAACACGGCAGTGGTGACCTGGACCCAGTAATGTTAACACGGCAGTGGTGACCTGGACCCAGTAATGTTAATACGGCAGTGGTGACCTGGACCCAGTAATGTTAACACGGCAGTGGTGACCTGGACCCAGTAATGTTAACACGGCAGTGGTGACCTGGACCCGGCAGTGGTGACCTGGACCCAGTAATGTTAACACGACAGTGGTGACCTGGACCCAGTAATGTTAACCCGGCATTGGTGACCTGGACCCAGTAATGTTAACCCGGCAGTGGTGACCTGGACCCGGTAATGTTAACACGGCAGTGGTGACCTGTACCCAATAATGTTAACACGGCAGAGCGGAGACCCGGATGTTGTCCACGTTAAGGAGTGGTCTCGTCACCTAACCTAACCACGATAAGAAAATTGGTTCCAGTAGAGAAGAAAATTTATTCTTGATATAATTATGAGTGTTAATGTTTTGTCACAGACCATTTAACTCATTTATTCCCAGGTCTTTTCTTTTAGGTTCTTAGCAAATTCCACCAAAATTATAGAATTATGACAGACAGACAGACAGACAAGAGAAAAACAGACGGAAAAGCAGATACATATACAAACATACAGATGGGTAGGCAAACAGACAAAACATACAGACAGACAAGCAGGAAAACAGACATACAAATTCTAAAAATACTTGCAAGACGCTAAAAAGTATTCTTTCACCACACAAAGATCTCATCTTTTCACGCTAAAACAAACACACAACGCTATCACACTGTGGTTGGTTGTGCAGTACTGTCCAGCTGAGACACTGACAACTTTCCTAACTGCAGAAATTTTTTTTTCCAATTTCTACCACAGTTTTTTCTCTCTTTTTCTTTTTTATGGAGTGGAAGTCGTATTCCTCCAACTCCTTGTGTTTCTTTGATCGCGGCGCCAGTGTCAATCTTATATCTGCTGGAGAATATAAGGACCTCTTTAGTCGGTCTTCAGGAGGTTTATCTCATGGCACTGGCTGCGGGGGGGGGAGGTGCTCTCACCACGATCGTCAACCAGGCTTTTATAAATCTGCGTCATGTTGGTCTGTATACCCCGAACAGTGTGGTGTAACGGGGGAGCTTGTGGAGAGAGTTTATCATCGCCTCGCTTAAATGGTCAACTAAATTAACCTGGGTGAGTCTAGGACGCCATTCATTCCTCAGCTAGCTCAAGAATGGAGTTTTTGTGAGGTTAGGTTAGGATAGGTTAGATCTTCCAGTAACCTTGAGTGTCAGTGCATAAAATTGATACAATCATCACAACCCTCCACCGACACATCCTCCACAACCCTCCACCGACACATCTTCCACAACCCTCCACCGACACATCCCTAACAACCCTCCATCGACACCCCCCCACAACCCTCCTCCAACACATTCTTCACAACCCTCCTCCAACACATCCTTCACAACCCTCCACCGACACATCCTCCACCGACACATCCTTCACAACCCTCCGCCGACACATCCTTCACAACCCTCCACCGACACATCCTCCACCGACACATCCTTCACAACCCTCCACCGACACATCCTTCACAACCCTCCACCGACACATCCTCCACAACCCTCCACCGACACATCCCTCAACCCTCCACCGACACATCCTTCACAACCCTCCACCACATCCTCACAACCTCCACCGACACATCCTCCACCGACACCTCCACCGACACATCCTTCCTCCACCGACACATCCTCCACAACCCTCCACCGACACATCCTCCACAACCCTCCACCGACACATCCTCCACTGACACATCCTCCACCGACACATCCTTCACAACCCCCACCGACACATCCTCCACAACCCTCCACCGACACATCCTCACAACCCTCCACCGACACCTCCCCACAACCCTCCTCCAACACATCCTTCACAACCCTCCACCGACACCTCCCCACAACCCTCCTCCAACACATCTATCACAACCCTCCTGCGACATATCCCTCACAACCCTCCAGCGACACATCCTCCACCGATACCTCCCCCCACAACCCTCTTCCGAATCATCCTTCACAACCCTCCACCACCACATCTTCCACAACCCTCCCGCGACACATCCCTCACAACCCTCCATTGACACATCCTCCACCGACACCTCCCCCCACAACCCTCTTCCGACACATCCTTCACAGCCCTCCTACTCAGGTATTGTCCTTCACCAGTTGATACAGACACAGGACAGGTAAAAAAAATACTTCACCACACAGAGTCCTCCACCGCCACCCCGTCCTGTGGACCGTCAGTGACACGAGACTAAGCGTGTTAACCTTGGTTGTTATCCCCGTGGAAATATCACGTGTGGATGCCCGGTTGCGACAAGAGCAATCCAGGCTGGTCTATCAAACCTACAGTAAATGGTTAATCAATTCACGCTTACAGAGTTCTCCTGCACGACACCCGTCTACAGTAACCGTGATCGACACGAGACTAAGTGTGTTAACCTAGGTTTGTATTCCCCGGGGAAAAATCATGTGTGGAAGCCTGGTTGCGACAAAAGCTGGCCTATTGCACCTACATGTAAGTGGTTAATCAAGTCACGCTTACCAGTTCTCCTTGCCGCGACAACCGTCTACAGTGACTGTCAGTGACGGGAGACTATGTGTGGTAACCCAAGAGTACCTTTTTTTTGTTGTTATTCCCCATGGAAAAAAGTTCTTGTGCGGAAGCCTGGTTGCAACAAGATCAATCCAGGCTGGCAGTAAATTTATCACTTGAAGAATTAAGGCTCTTAAGTCATACCCATAGTAGAGCAATCACATGTGTCCCCAAGTAGAAAATTCCCTCCTTCAGAAGATTAATTTTATTACAGCGTGAACGTGAGTGATTCATAAATCCATACAAATTGTAAATCATTGTATGGAAGCTTGACAAATAAATGTAAGTGCAATTATCTACTCGTATCTGTGATCCTATCTTATTATTACTAAAGGTGATGACTGATTGGTTATGACAAAGTATAACCAATAACTTAGATGGATGTTGGAAATTAATGGAACTCATTAAATCATCATTTATCAAGTATAAATCATGGAATGTCGAGTGGTGGAGTGAATTTCTACATAGATACACCATAATCTCCTGCAAGTAACCAGTGTGAAGGTATCGAACTCGACGGTAAGAAATATAAAAAACACAATATATTATAATCTTTATATAATATAATCCACACTTAGACCACCACGATGAAAAACCATGACACCGTCAACTGAGGACGAAACAATGGTGCAATTTTTTTAACCAAATATTAAAACCAGGAATTAGCAGAGTTTTTAAGATGATCCTTGAATCAGAGTGTTTAAAAATTCTGCAATTGAGATTCAGAGCAAATTCTGAATCTAAAGGATTTAAAAAAATTCTAACAAGTTTCTAAAGTCCTCCCGGTACATTTACTGGGCAACAATAAAGACAGGTATGGTGGTACTGGTGGGACGGTGTTGAGTATGTGTAGGCGTGTAAGGCAACATGACCCCATCACCAGAAAGCTCCGAGAATGAAGACAAATTCCGAGAAGTACGGAGACAGAGGAGAGAGATGAACACTCGTCGGCTTGTCGTAAAAATCCAACTGGATCACAGCAGACTCGAGACAAACAAAGCCGGACACACCTCTTTTGTCTTGCCCTGTGAGTGGCCCTACGAGACTGTTAGCGTCCACACCCACTAGAATCCCAAGGTGAATGTTCTTCGTAAGTGAAGAAGCACGAATGTACAATATCTAACGGAGTCAAGCGAGTGTACAATACAACATTTCCCACTACTCACGATATATGATTGAAACTGCTTTTTTTAAATAAAGATTCTACCCTCAAGTCTTGGGGTTGGCGACTACGACCTTCCACGACAAACGGCTATTTTTACTAATTATCCCAAATCTTGTATCTCCTACCCTCTGTTTTACCCATTATCCTCTTATCCCTAATTTATACTAGCAATCTATCTCATTTTTCTTATTCTATAAATGTTCGGTAATTTCTCTCGTTGCTTTAGCTTATCCTAGTACTTCTCCATTTGTTTTCCATCAATATAACTTTTCTTTTGTATTCTCAGGCAGCACCACATTCTGAAGGCCTGACACCTCCTGGAGTCTCCTGGAAGTGTCCACACAGCTGATAAATAATCATTCTCTAGTACACGAAATGTTCCACTTGTTTAAATTCCCTGTTGCCGATCATAATTATTATACGGTCATTCATCTTTAATTCGTAAACAGCCATAAATTTAGTCTTTCCTGCATCAATTCTCAGCTCAGAGTCCTCGCCTTCCTCCACTAACCAACAAATCAGTTTCTGTAATGTAACTCCACAATCTACAATAAGAGCAGAATCATATACACACACAATATTGGACACTCCTTTACCATTAAAACTTTGATTCTTTCATCACTTCTACATCTTCAAACAACATACCCAACACAACGTCCTCGCTAACATCCGAGGCACACAACTCCCCCACCTTCTGCTTCACAATAACACCAACACATCTCTCATACTTTTCACTGCCTGGATATTAGAGGCGACATTCTTCTCCACTAACGCTTCACTTAATCCCATAACGTCCCACTGCAACCTTTACATACATCTTCCTGGAAACGTCTGCATACTTGCCCGCCCACCTGCATATAATGTCCTCCACAGATCAAGGCTCCATTTTCGTGTTTATAAACCCGTTCATGCAAAATAGTTCCTCGTATCTTAAATTCGTTGATTTTAGCTGAAAAAACTACAACACCTAATAATATTCCTCGTAACCGGAGATGTAAGAATAATGTCAAAATTATAATGAGACTAAATTATCAAAACACGTTCAACTAACACCAGCAAAGAATAAGCTACAGAAGCGTCTGGAAAAGGTTTTGTAGCATATTTCCGAGACCTAATTGGCGCCATGTGAAGGTATCTTGTGAAGGTCGAGCCACAGAGTAATTAGGAGACCATTTTTTTTTTTACACCTCCAGTTACCAAGAACATTCAATGATGAGAAAACGGAATAAGAAAAACGAGACCAAACGAGAAAGAGAAGAAAATAGAAAAACACAGCAGAAGGAAAATGTAAAATACGAAATATTAGACTAACGAAGAAGAAAAAAGAAACAAAAGAAAGTGGTAGAAGAGAAGAAAAAGTCGAAGAAGCAGTGAGAGAGAGAGAGAGAGAGAGAGAGAGAGAGAGAGCAATCGAAGCAAAGGTCAAAGCAGAAGAAGACAATGATGATACGGACGATAATGACCCCGGCCATAAAGATAATGAAGAAGAATAACAGTTGGTGTGTATATCACCGCTACCACGTTCCTCCTCCTCTCTAATTTGGTGTAATCTGAAAGGCAAATTACACGTCTTGAAGAATGTGAGGGGAATTATGTGTTTGTGAGAACTCTTTTAAACCGCCTACTCACCCCCCTCCCTCCTTCTCACCTCTCCTCCATCCTTCCCATCACCCCTCCATTTCCGCTCCTCCTAAGCACCATTCCCTCTACTCAATACACTTTTCTCGCTTCCCCTCCACTACCCCTCCCTATAATCCCAACAGCAGCTCTATAGCCCCAATAGCAGCTCTATAGTACCAACAGCAGCTCTATAGTACCAACAGCAGCTCTATAGTACCAACAGCAGCTCTATAGTACCAACAGCAGCTCTATAATACCAACAGCAGCTCTATAATACCAACAGCAGCTCTATAGACCCAACAGCAGCTCTATAATACTAGACTGACAGCATCACCGCCAATTAATACACGTGCAATGAGACAGCCTGCTGAATCCCCTGGGCAGGTGTGTTCCCCGAAAGGTGCATTCCTAGAGTGCCCCCCTCGGGGCAGGCGTGTTCTTCCCCCTCCCCCGGGCAGGCGTGTCCCCCCCGGGCAGGTGTGTTCCTCCTGCAGGCGTGTTCCCCCTGGCAGGCGTGTACCCCCGGGTAGGTGTGTTCCCTCGGGTAGGTGTGTTCCCCCCTGGCAGGCGTGTTCCCCCGGGTAGGTGTGTTCCCCCGGGTAGGTGTGTTCCCCCAGACAGTCCCCAGTACCGTATATATTAACATTAATATCATTTCAACACTACAGTACATCTCTCTCTCTCTCTCTCTCTCTCTCTCTCTCTCCACATGATTAACACCTGCCAACAACTGCCTCGGGAAATTTACAACCTAGATGCGGGATTAATTGCTAACAGCCCTAATTTACAACCTGTGCTCGCGATTTAGACTTAACATTCCTAATTTACAACCAGAACTTACAATTTACAACTGGCATTCCTTATTTACAACCAATGCTTTCTAAAAACAATAATTATTTACGAAGAATTCCCTTGATTTACAACCACTGCTTTCTACAACCATTCCTGATGTAAACTAACTTCAAATGGCGTTAAACGCGCTTCATATGGCTTTAAGGATGATGGACCTAATTTACAACCTGTATTTACTCCCAATATTCCTGATTTACAAACAAGCAGCAGAAGTCGATACAAAGAGAAGCATTAACAAATGAAAGACCTGATTTACAACCCATAACTCTTCATTTACAGCCTACGCCCGTAATTTACAGCCCGCACTCTTCATTTCCAACCATGATCATTGATTTCCAACCCATACGTCTATTTCCATCCCACAATCCTGATTTACAACCAACATTCTTCATTTACAACCCACACATTTACGACTCATAACCTTTATTCGCAGCCCACACTCCCCGTTCGCAGCCCACACTCTTCATTTACAACCCGCAATTCCTTATATGTAACCCACACTATTCTTATAAAACTCATTTGCAACCCACACTTCTCATTTACAACTCGCACTATGCATATATAACTCATTTATAACCCGCACTCACAATCCATATCACTCACCTCTGAAAACATGTCTAAATCACCAGCAGAATCTTTCCTCTTGGCTACTAACACGTTAACTGGGGAACGACCTAATTACCTACAACTTTTTAATCCCCGTTATTATACAGGGTAGCGCGAATGAGGCACACTTTTGTTTCTCTGTGGTTTAATTGGTGTTTACCTGGTGCTTACCTGGCCACAGTTTGTAAAGAGAAAAGCATTGAGGAAAGGAGGTCTAAGAGGGACAAACACTCACTCTGGACCACGTAGCAACAGGCAACAGACTCCCAGAAACACGTCTTAACAGGCAATAAACTCCCAGAAGCACATCCTTACATGCAACAGACTTTCTCGAGCAAGGAGCATCTTGCCATAGACTTTAAAACGCTTCGTAAACCAACACACAATATCATCATCACCCACTACACAACAACAACACCTAGCAACAACTGCTCCCCACCACCCTTCATCTCCTCACATACGAGTCAATAAGACAACACATCTATAGGGAGGGCAAGTGTCAATACCACCTCCTCTCACCGCCTAGCAACACACCACGGACGTCATCCCTCAGTAATGAACCAGGGCGTGTATGTGGGGGTACTACAGGGCCCTCCAGGTTCACTTAATTACACGCACCTAGGCTGTTAGTTATGGGATGTTTGTATGGACAGGGGAAAATATGTCTGTCTGTCTGTCTGTCTGTCTGTCTGTCTATCTCCTCATACCGTAAAACTAATATTTGTTTGACGCTAATTCACCGTGTGTGCAAATCTTTCACACGCACACACAGTATATGAGCCAACTAATCAAATCCTGTGCTGAAAAAATATACATTACCTATCAAAGGTGTTAATTACTAACCCAGTAATGCGCTAGAAATTATGACAACGTTGCATACGACACACCTGCTTATATAAAGGTTAACTAAATACTCTCTCCAATCTGCATACACAAGTGACTGAGCATACTACATCACTCGCTTCAAGATAAACAACAACCCACATAATTTAACCATCGTTCTCAAGGGGTTAAACCATCGCTCTCAAGGGGTTAAACCATCGCTCTCAAGGGGTTAAACCATTGCTCAGAAGGGGTTAACCATCGCTCTCAGGGCTTAAACCATCGCTCTCATGGGGTTAAACCATCGCTCTCAAGGGGTTAAACCATTGCTCAGAAGGGGTTAAACCATCGCTCTCAAGGGCTTAAACCATCGCTCTCATGGGGTTAAACCATCGTTCTCATGGGGTTAAGCCATCGTTCTCATGGGGTTAAACCATCGTTCCCAAAAGGTTACACAATTGTCCTCAAAGGCTGATACACACCTGGTGCTTCAAGTCACAACAACAGTATTAACAGTAAAACAAAAACCTGCTCACGTAAAGATACACCTTTAATATCTTTCCTCTCACCTGTTCTGGCCCTCAACAGTTGGCCTCAACAGTGCCTGGCCTCAACAGTCGTCTCCCTGTCCTGGCCCTCAACAGTCGTCTCCTGTCCTGGCCCCTCAAGTCGTCTCCCCTGGCCTGGCCCTCAACAGTCGTCTCCCCTGGCCTGGCCCTCAACAGTCGTCTCTGTCCTGGGTCGTCTCCTGTCCCGGCCCTCAGCAGTCGTCTCCTGTCCTGGCCCTCAACAGTCGTCTCCTGTCCCGGCCTCAACAGTCTCCCCTGTGCCCTGGGTCCTAGCCTCAACAGTCTCTCCCCTGTCGGCCCTCAACAGTCGTCTCCTGTCCCTGGCCCTCAACAGTCGTCTCCTCTCAACAGTCGCCTGTCCCAGCCCCTCAACAGTTGTCTCCTGTGGCCCTCAACAGTCGTCAGTCGTCCCTGTCCTGCCCTCACAGTCAGCTCCTCCCCTCAACAGTCGTCTCCTGGCCCGGCCCTCAACAGTCTGTCTCCAGTGGTCCCGGCCCCCAACAGTCGTCTCCCCTGTCCTGGCCCTCAACAGTCGTCTCCTGTCCTGGCCCTCAACAGTCGTCTCCCCTGTCCTGGCCCTCAACAGTCGTCTCCTGTCCCGGCCCTCAACAGTCGTCTCTGTCCGTCTCCCCTGTCCTGGCCCTCAACAGTCGTCTCCCTGTCCCGGCCCTCAACAGTCGTCTCCTGTCCTGGCCCCTCAACAGTCGTCTCCCCTGTCCTGGCCCTCAACAGTCGTCTCCCCTGGCCCGGCCCTCAACAGTCGTCTCCCCTGTCCCAGCCCTCAACAGTCGTCTCCCTGTCCCGGCCCTCAACAGTCGTCTCCCCTGTCCCGGCCCCCAACAGTCGTCTCCCTGTCCTGGCCCCCAACAGTCGTCTCCTCTGGCCCGGCCCTCAACAGTCGTCTCCCTGTCCCGGCCCCCAACAGTCGTCTCTGTCCCGGCCCTCAACAGTCGTCTCCTGTCCCGGCCCCCAACAGTCGTCTCCTCTGGCCCGGCCTCAACAGTCGTCTCCCTTCCCGGCCCTCAACAGTTCCCTCCAACACTCCCCCTCGTCCCTGCCCGGCCCTCAACAGTCGTCTCCTCTGGCCCGGCCCCAACAGTCGTCTCTCTGGCCCGGCCCCCAACAGTCGTCTCCTGGCCCGGCCCCCAACACCCTCAAACGTCTCCACAACAATAAACACGACGCCATCCTCCAGAAGGTGAACACAAAACAAGTTGGTGCAATGTGAGTAAATAACCTCCCAGCCGGTGTTAACGAAATACTGTATGTGCTGAAGGCTGGAACACATAAGTAACCAAGGTGTGTTGTAGCTGGTAGTGAGGTGGTGGGAGGATGTTGTAGCTGGTAGAGGTGGTGGTGGTGGTGGTGGTGGTGGTGGTGGTGGTGGTAGGAGGGGTGTTGTAGCAGGTAGTGGTGGTAGGAGGTGTGTTGTTGGTAGGTGTAGAAGGTGTGTTGTACCTGGTAGTGGTAGAAGGTGTGTTGTAAGTGGTGGTGGTGGTGGTGGTAGGAGGGGTGTTGTAGCTGGTAGTGGTGGTGGTGTGTGGTGGTGGTGGGGAAGCAGTGGTAGCTGGTAGTGGTAGGTAGTGGTGGTGGTGGTGGTGGGAGGGTGTTGTAGTGGTAGTAGCTGGTGGTGGTGGTGGTGGTGGTGGGAGGTGTTGTGGCTGGGTGGTAGGAGGGTGTTGTAGCTGGTAATAGTGTGGAGTGGGTGTTGTAGCTGGTAGTAGTGGTGGGAGGGTGTTGTAGCTGGTAGAGGTGGTGGTGGTGGTGGTGGTGGTAGGGAAGGTGTGTTGTAGCTGGTAGTGGTGGTGGTAGAGGTGGTGGTGGTGGTGGTGGTGGTGGTGGTAGGAGGGATGTTGTAGCTGGTAGTGGTAGTGGTGGTGGTGGTGGTGGTGGTGGTGGGAGGGGTGTTGTAGCTGGTAGTGGTGGTGGTGAGGTGGTGGTGGTGGAGGGATGTTGTAGCTGGTAGTGGTGGTGGTAGAGGTGGTGGTGGTAGGAGGGTGGCTGGTAGTGGTGGTGGTAGAGGTGGTAGTGGTGGTGGTAAGAGGGATGTTGTAGCTGATAGAGGTGGTAGTAGTGGTGGTGGTGGTGGTGGTAGTAGGAAGGTGTGTTGTAGCTGGTAGTGGTGGTGGTAGAGGTGGTGGTAGAGGTGGTGGTGGCGGTGGTGGTGGTAGGAAGGTGTGTTGTAGCTGGTAGTGGTAATGACTCTTGCTCGCCCCTACCTGTTAGGTAGTAGGCAGTTACCAAACAGGGAGGTACTACCGCCTGGGAAGATAATGGAAGCGCAATGTATTGTCTAATGGTAGACCCTGCTGCCATATGGCATCACGATAATTGTGACCAAGTCCCAGTTCGCTCATCTGACTTTCTCCCTCATTTACACACAGTTTTTGTATTTCTTTATTATTATTATTATCAACACAGTATGATTATTATTACTATTATTAATTTACCATTTTCTTTTCTTTTTTTTTCTTTTATTATAAATAATATTTACGATGAATTCTTAACATTATTATTATTACATTTTCGCCCCCCAAGTGGGTCAGTGACCTGTGCCCAGGTGGGCTAATCCTCGTACAAAAAAATAAAAAATATATACAAAATAAAATACATATATATCATTGAGGTGAGGTGAGAGTAGCTGTTGTCACTCACATCAAAGTAACTAGCACCTGTGTAAGGACCCGCATTACACCTTTGTTTAGGCCACGCAGCGAGGAGGGATGGTGGTGTTAACGGAGGGAGGAGGGATGGTGACGTTAATGGAGCGAGGAGGGATGGTGGTGTTAACGGAGGGAGGAGGGATGGTGACGTTAATGGAGCGAGGAGGGATGGTGGTGTTAACGGAGGGAGGAGGGATGGTGGTGATAACGGAGGAGGAGGGAGTGATAACGGAGGGAGGAGGGATGGAGACATTAACGGAGGGAGGAGGGATGGTGACGACATTAACGGAGGAGGAGGGATGGTTAACGGAGGGAGGAGGGATGGTGGTTAACGGAGGGAGGAGGGATGTGTTAACGGAGGGAGTAACGGATAGGGAGGAGGATGGTGTAACGGAGGGAGGAGGAGGATGGTGACATTAACGGAGGGGAGGAGGGATGGTGATGTTAACGGAAGGAGGAGGGATGGTGGTGATAACGGAGAGAGGAGGATGGTGGTGATAACGGAGGAGGAGGGATGGTGGTGTTAACGGAGGGAGGAGGGATGGTGGTGATAACGGAGGGAGGAGGGATGGTGACGTTAATGGAGGGAGGAGGGATGGTGGTGTTAACGGAGGGGAGGAGGATGGTGGTGATAACGGAGGAAGAGGGATGGTGGTGTTAACGGAGGGAGGAGGGAGGAGGGATGGTGGTGATAACGGAGGGAGGAGGGATGGTGACGTTAATGGAGGGAGGAGGGATGGTGGTGATAACGGAGGGAGGAGGGATGGTGGTGTTAACGGAGGGAGGAGGGATGGTCGTGGCGTTGCCCACTTGCCAAAAATTCGCCCAAAATATACACGCTCCAGATAATCTTGAATAAATAAAAACGAAAATAAAAAATGTTTTGTACACCGAATCTAAGAAACAATAATCACCATCGGGTCTTTCCTCTCACTAACGCTCAGAGGCATCGAGTGTTACGTTCACTCTACATTAGGCTCGGGTCAGACTGGCATCGTTTTACAGTTCAGAGTAAACAATTATGAAAAATAATTTGTAAAGGGAATTTTTTTATCTGTGTGTTGGTTAGATGAAGGATCTGTTCCCTCGGTGGCAGTGTGTTCCCTCGGTGGCAGTGTGTTCCCACGGTGGTAGCGTCAGTTCCCACGGTGGTAACGTCTGTAACCCACTGGGAGTGGGATACTGGGCGTGGGGTACTGGGCGTGGCGTACTGAGTGTGGGGTATAGGGCGTGGGGTACTGGGAGTAAGGTTCTGGGCACAGTTCATACATCTTGGAGGATTTACAGTAAACATCGTTTGTGAAGAGCGTGAGACGTGAGGCATGGCTCGGGTAGGTTCGCCCCCGCGCTAATTCTGATGGCAGCAGTGTCTGGTATTGCCAATCTGACTATTCTGGGATAGAAATGAGTACTGGTGAAGTGGTTCTCAAAGCCACCAACCACCTTCAATAACGAGCGACGACTCCCTTGTGTGGAAAAAATGTCGAGATATATATATATATATATATATGTGTGTGTGTGTGTGTGTGTTAAATAAATAATAATAATTAACGGTTTACTGAAAGAGCATGGGAGCCGGAAGGCTGAAAATATACAGTTACATAATTGGGGAATGGGTCACTTGATTGACAAATAATATACAAGTAACATAAGTGATACAAATATGATATATAATAACTAGGTGGGGAGAAGGTTTATACTGCAGGACATTTCAACATGGTGACAGTGCAAAAAGGTAAGATTGACTGGGAGTGAATACACTGGTTGATTACGAATTGTTGATAAATTTTACAATTGTTGGGACTGGGCTGTTTTTATAGCGATCAGTTCGTACTCGTATGGGCTGGATGCGGTTGTGGTGTCGAACAGCAATTCGCGGACGAGGGATCTTGGGTGGAAATAGGAGCCGGTGTCGAAGATGGTGTAGAAGCTTCTCACTAAATTTGCAGATGAAATCGTGGTGATGGTTAGAGAGAGCCGAGAGGGTCAGTATTGAGCGCTTCTTGATATGTGGAATAGGAAGGGGAGAGAAAAATCTTACATGCCCTCCTTTTGCACTTTTTCAGATGTTTACGTTGTGTGGTATTTAGGGAGGATGACCAGGCAGTGGAAGCATAGGTGAGCTTGGGAAGTATGAATGTTGAGTAAACATTGAGGAGCTCGGGTGCAGGAACTCCGAGGGACCTGAATCGGCGGAGGAGGTGGAGACGAAAACTGGATGATTTGACAACTTTACTGACGTGTGTTTTCCAATTTAGCTTATCTCTACTTCTATAGTGACGCCGAGGACCTTGGTGTAGTCCACAACCTGGAGTGTGTTGAGGCCCAAAGTAATAGAGGGAGGTAGGAGGACGTCGGAGGAGAGGTTGATGTGCATAACCATGGTCTTGGTATGGTTGATGGTGACATGGTAGTTCGTGGCCCAATTTTGGAGACTGTTCAATAAATCCTGGATGGGGGTGTAGTCGGGAGCAGAGTTGTTGACACTGATCCCAATGGTGGAGTCGTCGACATATTTCCAGCGAGCAGAGGTTTCTCTTAGGGCATCATTGATAAGCATAAGAAAGCAGAGCGGTTCCATCTTGGTGCCTTGGGGGATGCCACAGGGTGGGTGACTGAAAAGTGGAGACGGCCTCTCGGAAGCGTACAGCTTGGCGTCGGTCACTAAGGAAGTCTGTAAGCCATGGTATAAGACTTCTCCGAAACCCGAGGTCGATAGCTTTGTTGATTAAATTGTGGTCGACTCGGTCAAATACCTTGGTGAAGTCAATGAAGGCGACAGCCACAGACGTCTTTCGTTTTTCCAGATGGCGGTATATGTAGTCGAAAAAGCTGCTAAGACAGTGAGTGGTGGAGGAAGTTTTCATATCCCTAAATTGCTGAGGATCTATGGCGTCTGCAATATCAGCATAAGCCCAGTCAAACACGAAACTTGCGCAGATTAAGTTGGGTATTGGGGTGATGGCAATGGGTCGTAGCTCATTTAAGGATTGTGGGCTGGTTGCCTTGGGCACTGGTGACACATACAAGGTCTTCCAGTCAGCTGGGCATCTTGCTTGGCTGAGGGAAGCATTGGTGATGGAGCAGAGATATTTGGCTAATAACGGGAGAGCTCCTTGTAGAGTTTCATTAAGTCAATGGGGTGGTGGAGCGCTTTATCTTCAGTTTGTCCAGACGTTTTGCTACTTCAAATTCGTCTACTAGGTCATTGGGAAAGGGGGCTGGTAGGTAAGCACGGAGATTGGTTGTGTCAAGCCAGGGGAGCGTCTGGCATATAGTTGCGAAATGGTTGATTGATTGATTGCTCAGCTGCGTCACCATTAGTGAGATGGCTACGGAAGGGGAGGGGGTGTGTCTTATTGTTTAGTCCACAGAGTTATTTAAGCTTACCATACCATTGACTGATGTTGGTCTGCTTCAGGTGTTGCAACTTGGTTGGGTAGTGAGACTTCTTTGCAGTGCGCATTAAGCGGATGACTTGGTTGCGAAGTGACCTGTAGCGGCTATGGTCATTGAGATAAAAGGCGCTGTCTCTCTGCTGTATAAGTCTTTTGATCCGAGGTGT